GACACCAATCAAATGTCGTGCCACCTCACCGCGTCACCGCTAGCAGCACCATTACTGCCAACACCACCATTACTGCCAACACCACCAAAATCTCAACCACCAAGTCCTAAACCAACTCCACCTTCACCTTCTTCCCCACCACCACAAATGTACTCACCTCTACCACCACCATACTCGCCTACGCCACCAATCTCCTCCCCACCTCTGACATCTAAATTCCCACCTCCTCTACCTGCAGTACAATCAACACCACCAAAATCAGCTCGAACCAGGGTGATTAATCGGACCAGAAGTTGCAACCACATTGGAAACAAAAAGCAACTCCTTCAAAGTGTGAGAATCGCGCAGCTCTAGTAGAAGCGGCCTTTGACGATGGTGGCCAGCACTCCATTCGACGGCTTTACGGACAGCTCGACGCTGGAATATAGAAAAGGGGTGGGTTGGGTGGAGAGGGGGGGGGGAGATCGGCACCCATCACAAGATCGGCACCACCGCCATCGGCCCTCTATGCCGCCATCATCGGAGAAGGCAGATAGAGAATGAGAGAGAGAGAGAAGTGTACTGATCTGTGATTTAGGGATTTAAAATGGGGAGTGGGGTGGGATGTATATATTAATTAATTTGTGAATTGTAAAACTTTATCCCCTTATTTTTGAAATGTAGAGCTTGTATGGGAGGGATTAAAATCAGATTAAAATTGAAAATATAGCCGTTATTGTTGACTTTTATTAGACGAGTGGGACTCAATAACGGCTATATTTTCAATTTTAATTTGATTAAAAGCTATCTCAAACAAGGCCGTAATCTTAAAAAGAAGGAATTTAGGTAATTTCCTCTATAAAAAATATGGCGTGACAAATAAGAGTGGTGGTGCAAATATAATCAATCATAATGAAAACAATGAAAGACCTTTATACCCCTGTCTCTTCGTTTCAACTATTGTAATGACAGTGATAACCCCTCTGTTCGTTAAATAAGCAACGATCTCGCGCTTTTTGAGATTTGTCGGTGCATCCATTCAAGATCCGACGTCCGATCTCGCGCCATTTCTCAGATCCAATTTCCCGAATTTGTAAGAAATTTTCCTATTCAATTTCCCAGATATATGATTTCCAGATTGAATTTCCGGTTTTAATTTCTGCAATTCGATTTATTTTCTATATTTTGGTTTCAATATTAATTTGATGAATGGTTCATTTTTAGTGTTGGGGATTGTCAAGATATTGGAGTATTAGAATGTTGGTTCAAGATTTGCTGTAAAGACGTTAAAAACTGATTTCTTAATTTGATTTCGGATTTTATTTGAAATTGAATTGATGTACCATTCATTAAATGGATCCTCCTGAAATTCTGTAATGGTTGAGCTGAATCCTCAACCACAACTCAGTAAATTTAAACAACACAAGCCGAGTTCAATTGAAAGTTTAGGATGTGTTTGACCCCCATTTTGGAGAAAAAATAAATTATGGAATAGTGATTGATGGAAGAATGCGTGGTTAAAAAATAATGAGAATTTTTGGGTTTATGTGTAATATTATTTTATTGATAAAATGTGTGGTTCAAATGAAAAAAGAGAAAAAAAAAAAAAAAAGAAAGAGAATAAGAAGAAAATGAGTGTCAAACAAGGGATTAATGGAAATACAGAGTAAGAACAGAAAAAGAAAAGAGGAGAGGAGAGAGTTCAGGAACGGATTATCCAAATGATTCTTCACCCTTTTCCCTCATTTTCCTATCGTTTTAACAGAATGGCAATTAAGTTTTGGAAACACGTTTTTTACAAAATGCACTTATTCTATTACAATTAAATCTTAACATAAAACGACGCTGTGTAGAGTTTAAATTTCAGCTAGCCATTGCCTGTCTTCTTCCTTTCTCTTCCCAATTCTGGCGCCTCTCTGACCCTTCCTTCCCCAATTCAGCTGATCCTTCCCCTTTGTGCCTTCCTCATAACATCCGTCCCCTTTCAAAAGACCTTGTCCCCAATGTTGAAAATCTGGTAATGTTACAGATGCAGCTTCTTTCTCTCCAATTCTTTTCTTAAGTAATGATACATGAAACACCAGATAAATCTGGGCTGTAGACAGTAATTCTAGTTTGTAGGCCACCTTCCCAATTCTTTGAATCACTTTGTAAGGTCCATAGTACTTCGCAGAAAGCTTCTTGTTGGATCTCCTGGCCACAGTTTGTTGAGCATAAGGGTGTAATTTCAGGTACACCCAATCTCCGATCTGAAATTCTCTTTCACTCATGTTCTTATCTACGTAAAACTTCATCCTAGCGCTGGCTTGAGCTAGATTCTCTTTCAGAATTCTGTCCATCTCGTGCCTTTCCTGTAGTATCTCTTCCACTGAAGTACCGGGGATCTATTGATAAGGCCCTAGAGCCAACTGAGGGGGTTTGACAGCGCACAAAGTTTCAAACGGTGTCATTTTAATGGCAGTGTGTAGGGTAGTGTTATACCACCATTTGGCCAGGCTGAGCCATCTATTCTAATGTCTAGGCTGCTTGTATACCATGTACCGTAGATACATTTCAAGGCACTGATTTACCCGTTCAGTTTGTCCATCCGTTTGTGGGTGGTATGCTGAACTAAGATGTAATCTGACTCCCAAGTATTTAAACAACATCTGCCATAACTCGCTTATGAACACTTTATATCCGTCGGTAACAATGCTTTGGGGTAGACCATGCAACTTGTGGATGTTATCCAAGAATACTTTGGCAACCGTTTGGGGCTGAAAATGGGTGGGATAATGGTAGGAAGTGTACATACTTGGTGAACCTGTCCTCTACCACCAAGATTACATTCTCACTCCTCGAGGTGGGTAAACCTTCAATGAAGTCCATGGAAATGTGACTCCAAGCATGCTGTGGAGTTGGTAATGGCTGCAATAAACCTGGGTATGCTACATGTTCCCCGTTGCATCTTTGGCAGGTGTCACATTCCAATACCTCCTTCTTGATGTCCTTGCTCATCCCTGGCCAAAAAAAATGTTTCTTGGCCCTATGAATACTAGCCTGTACCCAAGAGTGACCCCCTTCCTGTGAGGAATGTATAGCAGCTATCAATTTCTTCCTGATGTCGCCACCTGAGCCAATGTAAACTTTAGTTTTATATTTAAGCAGCCCATTCAAGTAGTGGTAGTCTGGTTCTGAGTTGTTATCCAGTAGCAAGGCAATAATTTTAGCCTCAGCTTCTTTATCACCTTGGTAGCTAGTCATCACGTCTCTTATCCACACGGGCTTGACTTCAGTGTTGGCTCTGATACCATGTTAACATGGTAGGAAGAAAGCTGTATTTTCATGTATTAGAGAAGTACAAAATCATTGTGTGTATGGTGGAATATTTAAAAGACTAAAGAATAACAGAAAAGTTGTTACAATCTACCGAAGAATCTGATGACAAATACTGCAGAATTTTAACCCTACAATACAGGATTTATCCTAACAACTTTGACTCCTAAAAGATAGCTCATAATAACCAACTATGCTAACAGTTATTTGGTCCCCCTTTACTTTTGGGACCTGCAACAATCCACAATTTTTGGCATCTGGTACTAAAAAAAAAAAAAATTTAGACTACAATGTTGATTTATCTATCCATATATTCGTGTGAGATTTAATCATTATTGCACAAATATCGATTTTTTACTTAATTCCTGAACTAAAAAATTTTACCGTACAGCAAGAGAGCTACTATGGGAGTGGACACTCAAGGTTGGAGTTTGGAATTAAACTATGACCAATGGGTAGCACTCCCTGTATCTGGTCAGCGGCCTGCTTCTCGTTACAAGGTGCTGTTCGTTTTACAAATTAAATTCTATCATTATCTAAAGTCTCGCGTTGTTTTGTCACTTCTATCTGCTTTGCTCAGTGAGATAAGATTGCAGCGTGATATGTTTTGATTTCCCACTTTTCACTTTTCATCAATGCTTGCTCTTTATTCTTTTTCCTGCAATGCAGCATGCTGCAGCTGTTGTTGATGACAAGTTATACATCACTGGCGGAAGTCGTAATGGTCGATACTTATCTGATGTTCAGGTATTGTCTATTCTTATTCAGCCCCTGTTTGACAACCAATACTTTGGGAAAATAGAGTTTTGAATAGTGATTTTTAGGAGAATGCGCGGTTAAAAAGTAGATTTTTTTTTTTGGATTTACACGCGGAGTGTTTTATTGTGTGAATGTGTGATTGAAAATGAGTACGTAGAAAAAAGAGTTTGAAAATAATGGTTGTCAAACAAGCGCTCAATATTACCTGTCAAAGTTCATTTTATCCTTCGTATTTTATCAATTCATTGGAATATCTGTAGGTTTTTGATCTCAAAAACTTGACATGGTCGACCATGAAAATGAACACAGAAGCAACTAGTGTGAAAGTCAAAGATGGTACACAACTTGATGTTTTTCCAGCGACTGCTGGTCACAGTGTGGTATGATACTGCTCAGAATTATTGTATCTCTCTGCTATTTTACTCTTCTGACGCTTTATTTTTCATTTACTCCAAGTGAATTTTATTATCTTTTTTTGATCTGGCAATTCATTTCTGACCCTACTCAATTTAGGGTTTTATTTTGCATATTTTTGTAATTTATTAATTAGCTGATGTAGAGATGATACTATATCTCCAGATTAAATCGGGAAATAGACTACTTCTTCTTGCTGGTCTATCGAAGAATGCTTCTGAAAACGTAACGGGTTTGTTCCCTATGGATCCATCTTGTTTCTGGAAAAAAAAAATCTGATAAATTATTTGGTCCGTCTAGATCCTGCATGAAGACCAATTCGGTCTTTATTCATTTGTTTTTGGCTCAAATCTGGATATTTTATTGATTCTGTTCTTTTATGTGTGGTATGCAGTGCGGTTCATTGATCTTGAATCAAACAGTTGTGGTGTCATGGAAACTTACGGCAATGTTCCGGTAGTTGACTGATTCATGGACTCCTTATTTGTCATTTTTATTAGTTATATCCTTGTTGGCAATTTAATGTTTCAGGAGCACAGAATTTGATACCGTCTCCATTATTTTGTAATTATGCACATGTATTCCTAGCTTAATGATGTGATTTTATTGGTTTTTTATATTGTTTAATTAGGTAGCTCGCAGTGGGCAATCTGTAACGCTGTTTGGTTCCAAACTTATTATGTTTGGCGGAGAAGACAGGAATAGACGGCTGCTGAATGATGTCCATGTTCTTGACCTGGCAACAATGTCATGGAGTGCTGTTAAGACTACGTAAGTGTCTATTTACGTTTGCATGCAACTAATTGCATAATTTTGGAAATGTTCTTAGCATTTATACATTGATAGGCGGACATCTCCAACACCCAGATTTGATCACACAGCTGCAGTGAATGCTGAGCGCTACCTCCTCATTTTTGGTGGATGTTCTCATTCAATTTTTTACAATGACCTGCATGTGTTAGACCTGGAAACAGTAAGCTTCACCTCTTTGTCTACCTTATCCGTTCCCCAAGCATATTTATTGTATTAAGCATATTCCTTGAACATTTAATTCCGTCGTGATAGCGAAGTTTTATTTGAAGTCAATATGTGTTTTTGCTTTTGGATAACTAGAAAAAACATCATTTGTCGATTTTTCAGTTGATTAAGAAACACCTTCAAAGCAATTCACCAGTGAACACAGTTGGGGCTTTGGGTTGTTTTATGATTTTTTGTTATAACTATCTTTTTCATCCCATGAATCTGATGAAGGCATTCTCAGAAGACTCCATCGCAAACTAAAATCATATGTTATGGTGAGGGGATGCTTTTGTTCTCTGCCAATCTTGAGTCTTTTGTCATACTGATATATATCCCAACATCCTCATTCTCCCAGTGAAGGTGGAAAGGTCCACATTGTATCCTAAGTTGCTCAATTTACTGAATATTTGTCAGACAGACATAATACTTCTTTAGCGGAGGCAGAATTTAATTTAATTTAATCCTGTTTAATTTAATCCAGTTTACAGCCCTAGTAAGGGAGATTATATTTTAATGTAAGCCTTTTTGCAGCCATCGTAAAATTAAAAAATAAATATTGATTAATTTTGGTAAGTTTCTTCATGTTAGGGATTTTTATATATAAATAGGACTAATTTTGTTACATAATTCAGATATTGATTTACAATGCCTAGTATTATTGAGATGCTCACTCTAATTGTGCTTCTGGCTCTATTCTTGCTCCATTTTCTCTTCTCTTCTCTTCTCTTCCCTTGTCTTTCTTTTCTCTTTTTGTTCTACATCAACTAGTCCTACCAGATTATGTGAAAATTGAAGGAACTAGAGAAAGATTTCAAATATGATGCTAATTTACTTAAGTTCCTTCTCTCCTTGTAAGCTTGCTGGGGCTAGATTATTTTTGAATAATAAGAGTTTACAATTAATCAAAATTGTTACTGTAATCCCCCTTTCAAGGTACAGTTTTACGAATTCTCTGTCAGACCTGATACTAAGTTCTCTCTAAAGTTTTGATTCTTGTGGGTGCAGTTTATAATTTCCATGTAGTCGTTTGTATTGTTTGTATTGTAGTGGACTCAAAACACAGACCTATATGAGAAGGAAAAATTCTTCATTGCATGATGTTCTCCTATCTAATATTTTCTGACACTGCAAATGCTCTCCATTTTCAATTGGCATGATGAAACATCAGTATTTTGATGTATAGTAGATGTATCATTTTAATGTACATAAGATTGATTATTACATTATTTCTGTATAATTGGGCAGATGGAGTGGTCCCAACCTCAAATTCAGGGTGATTTGGCGACTCCAAGGGCTGGTCATGCTGGTGTTGTAATAGATGGAGATTGGTTTATAGTTGGTGGTGGAGATAATAAAAGCGGTAGGTGAAATTACTTTTCGTATAATGTTAAATTCCTTTCCCGGTGTTAATTCATTCTCAACATTTCATTGAACTAGTTTGGATGATTGACCCTTTCTGTTTGCAGGTGCCTTGGAAACCCTTGTGATAAATATGTCTAAGCTAGCTGTATCCAAGTTGACTAGTGTGAAGGAAAGAGATCCACTAGCTAGTGAGGTCACTACACTCCGTTTCATTTCCTATTACAAGAAACTGTTGAGCAATAATGCGGTTATTTAAAGGTGTTCTTATGTATGAATTCGAGGGGAATCTTAAGAAAATGTCATGAGCTTCACATTGCCTCCTACGCCTGAAGAAATCTGATGTTCTTACAGGATTTTCTCTTGTTACTAATTTTCATCGATAGAACGATAAACCTCTTAATGCATTTCTGAGCACCCCCCCCCTCCCCCACATACACATCAAGCGCACACAAATATACTAGGTATGGAGTAATATATTCTTTGCTGAATAACTTGCAAATCAAATATTAAAATATAACTGATATTACGAAAGTAATGAATTTGAGAGGAGATCTCTTTTTTTTCTTTTTTTCAAAAAGAAAATATATGCCCTCCATTTTAGCTAAAAATGATCCCCCCCCAACACCGGCCACCACCTTATCTTACTCTTCCTTCTGTTCGTAATCCTATTTTAGTGCACATAAGTTCAGGGATCATAATATTTTTTTGCCTTTGTTCATTATGTTTTAAGTCACCCTACTAGAGCTTTCAGTAACACAACCTAGATTCATCACTCGTGCATCAATTTATAGCTCTACTTTTGATAGATGCTGTTTTTTATTCCATTTCCAGATAAAGAAAAGCCTCTTGCTTTTTCTTTATGAATGGGTTAGCTCATTATTGAGAAAATGAAACTAATGCTAAATTCTCCTCCAGAAAACTCAACATTGCCTCATGTTGATATATTGAATTCTCCCGTTCCCTACCCAATAGTATTGTGTTACTGATCATTACAGTATTTGTTACTTTCATTTACTAAAAGGTCGTTTTCTCACGTGCTTTCATTTGGAAAATTAATGATAAATAGTTCCATTCTGGATGAGTATAAATGAGTCAAACTAGGAATATTGTCAAATTTAGCCCCTGTTTGAGGACCATTATTTTGAGAAAATGGAGTTTTTAATAGTGATTTTTTGGATAATGTGTGATTAAGAAGTATGGAAAAGTTTTGAGTTTACGTGCAAAATATTTTATTGTGTAAATGTGTGGTTGAAAATGAGTATGAGAATTAAAGAGTTTTGCACGTAAACTCAAAACTTGCACGGTCATACTCATTTTCAACCACACATTTTCAGAAATTAAACCCCTGTTTGAAAATGAGTATGACCATTATTTTGAGAAAATAGAGTTTTGACTTTAAACATGTAATGGTTGTCAAACAGGGGTTTAATTTCTGAATAAGCTGCATACAAACGAGATATAACATTGTTCTATGTTAAAAGTCAAGCAAGCAATTAGTAATATTTTTTATTTATTTCTCCTATGTTGGAGATCAATAGGTGTAAAGCATCCATCACGGCTTGTTCTTATTCAATGTTAACAGTTATTTCAAGAGTTCGTAGCTAACTTACATGTTCGGTTTGTCCACTATTTCCAAGATATTTGATTAATTTTACACCTGGGATGGAAGGATTTCCCCTTTTCTTGTTTGTTTGTTGCTTGTATACATTAGTTTTAGTTTTTTTCCTCTGCGGTATGGAGGGAGGGGGCGCTTCAACTGAAGTTTGCAATGTGATCAATTTTTTGTTACTAGATCTAATTTTTAAGTACTACTATGCACGACTTCTCTCTTTGCATCCTGCTACTGAATTACTACCAAGTGAAAATGATGTCTAGAATTTCTTGGCAACTATGAAAGTTACTTTTGGTTCTAACATCTCTAGAATTTTTCGTATGGTAAATTTTGGTGTATCGGCTTATTTTAAAATATTATCTGCTTCCTGCTTAAATTCCCATAAGATATGCTTTCGACAATACTTTAAGTGAACATGATAAAATGGAGCTGCAAGTAATTCCTGCGTCATTCCCTTGCAATTTGAGTTGTATCACTTGAAATTCTTTTACTTTCGTTCTCTATATCTGCTCTGAATCTGATGTGATACCATGAACAGGGAATCAGTGTTTCCTCAGCATTGCTAGATGGTGAGAAGTTTTTGGTTACATTTGGTGGCTACAATGGGAAATATTACAATGAGGTACAGATTACTTTATTTTACAAGTGCATCAACCTTCTGTAGCATAATGAACTATGCTTAGGTCCTGGAATCTACGTAATATACAAAGAATGACATGCATAGATTAGTTCTTTGTATAGAAGAAATCATAGAATTAGTTGCCTCTTATAAGACATGGAGACATTATTATGGGTATAAATGGAAGCAATATCTTATAATTGTAGGACACTGGCAAGCTTATGATATTTTGCTTGTGCAGGAAAGTGGACTATCTTCAGCATGTAGTTCTTTTGTCGTCATATTAATCATCAGCTTGCAGTTGCATGCTAGGTTTAATTATAGAAACAACAGATATAGCATGCACAGTATATACTATTACTTTCACAAAATGCTAGATGTAGTCTATGCCAGACTCTATTTATGCATCATCTTTATACATTACGATGACAAACTAATGGTTTTGGTGTTAAAAACTCTCTTTTAGTTTTAATGACAATATAGTGAATTTTGTAGGGCAATTAAGATGGAAATGTTTATAATTGATATAGGTGCTCTTGATTCACCATTGAGTTATTAATATCCCTGAGTGTTCATCACTAACTTATTCCAAATGGTGACTTGAATTGCCTGGCCATAGTCAGTATTATGTAAATAAATGCGCCCCTGGCATCCTACTAATTGCTCATATAACGGCTTTATATTATGCTTGTGAAAAGGACAATTGCAAGTCCCTTCTATCTCTAAGTAGTATTTTTTTCAATCCAGGAGATCTGATATTACACTGGCTTTAGTTCTCTCTCTTTGATAGTTTCTTTTGTTTTAGAGATCTTTCTGTGTTTCCATGTTGTGCCTCATTTTGCTCCCTCTGTGGGTAGAAAGACCAATCTTCTTCTAAATGTTTTAGTTCAGTTCACCTATGCGTAATGGTGACCTCGGTCTTTCCTTATAATGTAGGTATTTGTAATGAGGCCAAAACCAAAGGACTCTTTACATCCCAAGATATTTCTATCCCCAGCAGCTGCGGCGGCTGCGGCTTCTGTTACTGCCGCATACGCCTTGACAAAATCTGAGAAGTTAGACTTCCCCGAGAAAGAAGATCCAAATTTTAAGGTAATTCCAGTGGATACCTCTAAGCAGGATCATTCAGTTGCGATTAATTCAATCAGAGAAGAAAAGAAGGTTGCAGAAACATCACTTGTGGAAGTTATGGCAGAGAACTCTACTCTCAAGGCTAAGATTGAAGAAACAAACACAAATTATGCCGAGCTATCCAAGGTGTGTTTCTCAGAATAAACTGTTAGTTCGGTTTCAGTACTAAATTATCATGGATGTCTTTATATTCATTAACTGGTTTCAGGAACTACATTCGGTTCAAGCTCAACTTGCAGCAGAGAGATCAAGATGTGCTAAATTGGAGGTCCGACCTTATGTTTTTTGAACCTCTTTTCAGATTTCTTTTTTTCAGTGTTCTATAATAAAAGTCTAAACCGTTTATTTTTAAGTGTCCAGTTTTCAGAAACTGCAAAGGGTTAATATTGATCCATATTCGATTTGTATCCATCTGTAATGGCATCATCAGGCACAAATAGCAGAGGTACAGAAGATGTTGGAGTCAATGCCAGCAATAGAAGAAGAGGTTCAGGCACTTAGGAGAGAAAAATCTGCTTTTGAACGTGAAATGGAGCTCGCTTCAACTGTCCAGAGACAGCGTTCTGGTGGCATTTGGAAGTGGGTCGCTGGCTAGATTACGTTGCTTGGAACCACTGAAGTTTCCCATGTCAGTATCTTACTCTTGTTGTGGGCTAGGTTGCGCGAAAACTTCTAAACTATTAAGGTGAGTTTGGTTTGCTGTTTTCGAGCCCTTTTTGTTTTGCAAAACACTGTAACGTGTTTGGTATGATATTTTCGAAAACAAGGTTAAAACTTATAATATAAAACTAAAAACGCATTTTCAACATTTTGAGCGTTTTCAGAATTATTTGCTCAGGTTAGTATCTTACGCTTGTTTACGACTGTAATGGATTGAATATGGACCGGATCCGCCCATATTCGATCTGATCCGATAATTCAAAGGATATTTGATTGTTAAATCCATATCCGACTTACTGTATCATCGAAAATCCGATATGATAATCCGCCTCGAAATTAAAGAAATTAGGAAAATATAATCAATGTTGAAATTAACTTTTTTTTTTTAATTCCAATTCTTAAATGTGCTTAATAATTATAATTTTTTCAATTTTTTTAACTTTTACCAATTGGATTGGAAAGGTATAAAAATTTGTTTACCCATTTATTGACTCACTTATCTATAGAGGACATCTCCAAACATTTTATTATAAATTTTCTCTGTGGAATAAGAATTCATTTGGTTTGGCTGTAGTACATTATACATTTGGTTTGGTTGTAGTGTATTATACATTTAGTTTGATGTAGTGTATATACTATTATATAAATAATTATTTATAATTTATTAAATTAATCGTTTTCTTATCTTTTCCTAATTAATAAATATTCGAAACTCTCCAAATATTTGAATTAGTACTACTATACCATATTTTTTTTATCGAATATATTCATTTTGTCAAACTCTTAAAACCGCATTTGGAACTATAATTCGTATGTATTATTAAATAATTTTTAGATTGATTAAAAATTAAAAGCAATATTAAAATAAGAAAAATGCCTTTTTACATTATTTTTACGCCAAGGATTTGTCTAGCTCGAAATCTCCACCTCTCTACGTATTATGCTTTTTAGAATAGTGTACATGTGGATTGACTTTCTTAATTTTTATGTTTTGAATTTGATGACTTTTATTCTAAATTTCTTTATTTTCTCATTTATTTATTTTAGTGACAAATAATATGCTATAAAAATATTTTACGACTCAATTATTTATAACAAATCGGATCGATTGTTATCGAATCGAATTAACCTATATCCATATTTGATTCGTTTAGTTAACGTATTATTGGATTCAAATTTTGATCGAGTTATCGGATCGAAACTCTAAATTTATATCCCATTAATTTCATCGGATTTGGATTAAAATCCATCCATTGACAGCCGTACTCTTGTTATGAGCTAGGTTGCGTGAAAACTTCTAAACTAGAACATTCGGAAACTAAAAAAAAAAAGTTCTATTTTTAAAATTTTTTTAATGAAACTTGGAAACTTTCTGTATCGACTTTGTTGAGAGCTTCAACTAAAAATTGACTTAATTGCAGGCTTTAACACTAATATTACAAAAATAAATGTGATTAGAGTTTGTCGTTAAATAGATTTTAAATAAAATATGAACTTATAAAAATAATTTTTTTTACAAATCTCCACATGTTTTCATGTCCCATTTTTTATTTTTTAAAAAAATAACATTTCCGCATATCTTGTTTTTTAATTTCCGTGCAATTTAGGTTAATGAGTGTAATGTGCAGGTTTGGCATAATCTAGCAAGGAGGGGAAGCAAAGGCATTTTGGGTTTTTGGTCAGTCAAATGAAATGACTTTTTTGTACTTTCTGCACGCTGCACTTGTATCATTTTGTGGGGTTAGTTTAGGTAACAGACAAATAGAAATGTTTATCAATTTGTTTACCGTCCTGTTTCAACTTCTTCTTAATTGTTTCTTGCAGACTACTAAATTCTCATGTAATTGTATTCTACGCTACTAAAATTTTACCCTTTTTTGCTATTGTACAGTTGACTCAATTTTATATTTGGCTAGACTATGCTCAAAAGATACATTTTAGAAAGTAAATTTTAGCTTTCTCTACCACCTATATTAAAAGAGCCAGTTTTGGGTTACTGTAGCTAAGTCGCCGCTGAGCCGAATGGCCATTCGGCTCGGCAAGGCTAAGCAGGGTGTGTTTTTTTTGTCCCCCCCTTCAAAATATCCTATACCCTATCCTATATTTAAGCTAGCTCGCCGAGCCGAATTGCTATATGGCTTGGCTCGACTAAGTCGTCGATTTTTTTTTCTCTCCCTATACCCTATCCTATATCTATATCTATAGCTAAGTAGCCAAGTCGAATGGCTATATGGCTCGGCTCGGCTCGGTTCGGCTTGGCTAAACCGTGTTTTTTTTTCCTATCCAATATCTATATCTGTGCATTGAATAAAAGAGCCGGTTAAACCGAGCTCATTGGCTATATGGGTCGGCTCTACTAAACCGTTTCCTTTTTTTTTTTTTTTTCCTTTTTTCTTTTTCAAATAGCTTTATGGCTCGACTCAGCTAAGATTTTTTTAACGTTTGATTTTGATTCCAAATGGCTTTATGGGTCGAATCGCAAGCCGTTTTTTTTTTTTTTTT